AGAGAGAGAGAGAGAGAGAGAGAGAGAGAGAGAGAGAGAGAGAGAGAGAGATACTGGGCTCAGTCTAGTCTATAGAGGAAAATCGGATTTGGTGATAACATCAAAACACTGGAAACTGGCCCTAGCCAATATCGCTGGAGCATACTCAGTCCAGCCAGGTATAGAGGGTAACTTGTGATGGGATCTGTGGCAGAGATGTATGTATTTCCAGGACTTGTAAAAATAAATAAGTGCGCCTATGCTCTGAAAAAATCCCAGTCTCATCTCAAAGCACAGTTACCCCCGTCACCTTCTGCTTAATCATAATATTTAAGGCTGACTGAGGTTAATATGGCGATGAGATCTGGATTAGAGCAGGGGTTATTTCATTTTGAAAATAATATTCTGACTCAGCGAAATCGCATCCATTTAAAAGAGTCGGGTGAATGTAAAGGGGTTAAACTATTTTTTAAAAGATCCATTCGAATTACAATTAAAAAGAAATGCGGGGTTGTAATCGGCATGTTTGTCGAGTGTCACATGGTCTTAGGGCCCAGGTTACAATATCAAACCGCGTTTCCCCTATATTATTTGACAATGTTTATAAGTGTCTAAAACAAATCATTGGGGGAGGAGGGGAAGGGATAATGAGAGTGGGATTCACAGACCCCAGCTCCCTTGGTCTTACCTTTTCTAATTCCAAAAGATGAAACCTTAGTACTTGTATTGCTTGGATCATCTGAAAGAAAGTTTTGAGCGAGGAGTTATTTGTGAGAAGGACGCAGCACTGGGGTCTGAGCAGAGCTGCGAGCCCCAATGGGCAGAGAGGGGGCTTGTCAGGGCGCACACTCATTAGCCAGGTTTTTAGCTCACTTGTCACGCTTGAGCAATTTTGATCAACCTTAACCCTAAGCACTCGATTTTTATCATATTTATTTTAAGAGCGGTGATTAGTGTCTCACTGGGATCTAGAGAAATCCCCCTCTGTCTCCCTCAGCACTTATTTCTGAGGGTCCGCACAGCAACCAACCAAACACACACACACACACCTCAAAAGAAAGAAAAAAAGGGGAAACGCTCAAGATGCATCGTTTGGCATCTTCTTTACAAGCGGATTTAGGCACTTTTACTATTGAAATCATCCGCATTAGCAAAAGAATTGTGCTAGAAATCTCCAGCTCTCTCTTCTTAAGCAGTTATTTCCTTCACTGTCGCTTCCCGCGGCTTTAAACACAGCTTTGCAATGCATTGGGACTTCAGAGTTTGCCCTGGTTCACTTTAAAAGTGAAGCTCTTTGAAGCCTCTTGGATGTAGTTTTTTAATCTTTCTGCTTTCCCCCTCCCCGGTCCTAAACCCTGGATGGCTGAACCTGTAACTTTCGGCCGCCTCCAGCCTGCTCACTCACAACGATCCCTTCATGTTTTAGAAAGGTGCTTGTTTTATTAATATAACAAACTACAGTAAAGGGGTGGGAGGGAAGGCAAACGTGGAAGCCTTACCAAATTGTCCAACTCTGGGTTTGAAGAAAAAAGTGGTTTTTCAGCGCGGACCTGCGAGAAGAAGGAAAATCAGTGTAAATTGCAGCCCCGGTTCAAAGTCCTGGAAGCGAATAACTTGAAGGAAAAACATGTGACAAACTAGCGAGTCGAAATACGCCCAGGCCAGATTAAAATATTAATATGCTCCGTGAAATAACAATGTATGTGAAAAAGAGTCTAAACTGCAGCCAGCCCGGTGCCTCTGTCCTTTCAGAGCCCTCTCCTTTTTGATCTCTTTTATTTCTCTGGGTGAGTGTGTCTGGCTAACAACTCGATCACAGGGATTGGGTTGGTGGGGCTGAGGGTTTGGGGGAGCGAGGAGTTGGATGAACTAGTTTCAACAGACTGGAACCGACTCTTTTCGGATGAGGCCACTTCGGATCGGTGGCAGAACACATTTTCCTCTCCACACCCTAATCCCCAGTTCCAGTGTGGAATCAAAAGATGAGAGCCTCTCTCTCTCTCTCTCTCTCTCTCTGAAAGTGCGGTGATAGGTGGTTTGTGTGGGGGGTAAGGGGCGAAGCGGGGTCGTAGGGCTGTGAAAAAGTGCTGGACCTGTTTAGCGAAGACCGCGATGTCCTCGTTGAAAGAGTCCGAGGAGCAGACATCCCCGCCGGCCACACCAGGCTCCCGGGGAGTGCAGGTCGCCAGCTCGCACTTCTCAAAGACAAGCGCTAACAGGGGGAACAACGGGTGCCTACCGGGCAGTGACACACAAAGAAAGAGAGGGGGGAGAGAGGCAAGAAAGAAGAGCTCTAATCAACAAGTATATATATATATATACTTACATATATATATACACACACACATTACACCCTGCAGCCCTCAACTACGCCTTCAAACCGGGCAAATACAAATGAAAACGTCAAAAAATATTTTAAAAATGTAAAATCCCAAACCGCATCCACTGTTCATATCCCACAAACCAGAGACAAAAATAACATAAACACCGAACAAAATAAACGCATGCACCCATGACAGTAGCTCAGCTGTGAATCTTACACTTTTAGCCACAGCTTTAAATAATATGAAACCGGGACAATCCCATCTCTACCCCCAAGCTAGAACCCAAAATGAGAAACACTGTTACGCAAACTGTTTGAACTACTTCGTAGTTGGGGTTTTTCTTTATTATTTTTAAAGGAGACTGCTAGCAAAAATGTGGTGAAGTTTCCTGGCTTAGAAAGCACACCCAAGTAAAATACCAGCTGTCTAGATAACTGAGCTGGAGAGGGGGAGGGAGAAGCACTTCTAGAAATATTTTCCCATAATTGGAGTAGTCATGAAAAAATATCTCTGTGTTAAGTAGTGTGTGTTTGCCACTTTTCCCCCTTTGTAGCTCTGATCGTGGGCCCTCCTTGTGTCACAGAGGTTACTAGCTCTTCTTTTGGGGTAATTTACTGCACTGAAAGGAACCTGTGTCATTCCCCCAAAGCATTGCATTGGTACAGGGGTTTGTTGTTTTGGTTTGGGTTTTTTAATTTTTATTTTTTTTCTTTCTAAACAGGGAAGCTCAACTCACTGCCTCCAATTTTTTTTCCATTTCAAAGAAGAGTTGTCTGCCAGAAGTGAGCCCCTCTGTTATTACTCTGTCTTCCGCGATTTGAATACCTCTTTATTTACAGTGCTAGAGGAGTGTTATTATGGCATCTTGATCAACCAGAACAACACTGTTTCAGCTAAAATCCAGTGCCGTGGTATCCACCCCCTGTCTCAGCTCCTAACTTCTGCCTCTCCGAGAGAAAAAAAAGAAAAAGAAAAAACAACTTTCACGTATAGGGGTGTATTTTCTGGTGCACATTTCCTATCGGTACTTTATGTCCCTCCGATGTCATCAGACTAAAAATTATTTATTATTAATTATTATTACTACTAATAATAAAAAGCCACATTACAGGTCTCCCTCCAGAGCAGTGATTTGTGCCTGTGACTCTCCTAAAACCCTCACGAGCCGTGTCTCCCACGTCTTTTTCTCCAAAGCAGACTTTAGACAGTTACCCCTTCAACCTCGCCAGCCCGATGCCCACAGATGGGAGCCCTCTCCCACCCTTCCTCTCCTCTGCCTCCTTTCCCCACGTCCAGAACACACACGCCGCAAGCCGGGCTATGGCGCCCGGGTTACCCTGCATGTACCTACCCGTAGATCGCATCTTTGTCCCGCTTTAAGGCGTCGTTGACAGCCGATCCCATGCTGGCCGGCATGACATTGGGGTGCGGGGCGTGGGCTCCATAGTGCTGGCTGGCGTGTAGCGGCGGCCCATGGTTCAGGTGGTGAACCGGAGGGATCGGCCGGGGAGCGTGAGGGTCTCCGTACATGGAAGCCGGCACCCCTACTCCGTCCATCCCGCCGTAATGGGGCAGCTCATCGTACTGTCAAAAAATGGGCCAGGAGAGAGAGAGAGAGAGAGAGAGAGAGAGAGAGAGAGAAGAAGAAGAAGAAGAAGA